GCCACCCCACACGTCTGCGGCCTCCGACCCGGGTAAGGCCTACCCGCCGAGTGGGCCCCGACCCCGACCCTGTCCGCCCCCAGTCCGCGTCCTCGCCTCCCGCCCCCTCGCCGGCCCCCCTGGGCCGCCGCTGCTCCGGTCGGACGCCTGCGCAGAGGGCCGTCACGGGCGTAGGTAGGCGCCGGCAGCCTGTGGTGTGAGGCGCGAGTGGCGCTGTCCAGGGCTTGCTTTGCGAAGTTCACTGTGGCGGTCATAGTGAGAACTGAGAGTAAGGACCTGGGCCTCCCTGAGCGGGCGCAGGAGCAGGCGCGTCGAGTTGTAGGGAAGAACATCCCACGGGCGGGAACTGCATCTGTGAAGGCTGCACAGCATTCGATCCCCGCGCGAGGAGGTGGGTGGGAACAGACCAGGAGCAGAGGCAGGCTGGGGGCAGCAAGGCCTTCGGAAGGGTTCTGGTTGTAATCCCGACGGGACTTGGGGACCGACGATTAAACCGGAAGGCAGGAAGAAGTTGGACCTGGCTCCAGCCGATGAGAAGCCCACAGAGCTTATTGGGTCTGGGGACAAAGTGAGAAGGACGCCGAGCCCTGGCTGGAGGAAACGGAAGGGGGGGGTGCATTTGCCATTCTGGGGTAGACCACAGGGTTTGGTGAGAGAAATCAGAAGCCAGGCTCTGGTCGCACACACGCACCCGGCAGGAGTTTAAGACACCAGGTCCAGGACTTGAACCGTGGTCGATTACATGGGAGTTCAGTGACATAGTCATTTCACTTTTTGCTGGTCCCTGTAGCCCTTGTTTTTTTTAAAAAGGGATTATTTAATTACTTAATTTTACTCGTCATCATCATTATTATTAATTTGACCAGAAAAAGAGGGAGAAAGTGAGAAAGCAAGCTGTCAGGTCTAGGAGTCAAACTGAAGTCGGCTATGTGAGATTCCAGCACCTTAACCATTATGCCACCTGCCAACCCCTTGTTTTATTTTTTTATTGCCAGAGGACACATGCTTTCGCCTAAAAGAGAGAGAGAGCGAGCACTCCCCCAATGAGGCATGATCTGACCACATTCTTCTCCTCCATCCAGTCAGCATTTGGGGCATTCACCTATACATGTATACCCAGCATGTTTTCAAGGTGCCAGAACAGGGATTTGAACTGCGATGAGATCTGACTCCCTGTGCACAACATGTAACTCATGGATTCTGTGGCCAGCCTAGGGTATCTTTTTTTCATTAAGAATTTCATAACTTAAAAACATTTATTTCTTTTTTATTTAGGATAAGAGTATGTGCACATTTCAGGGTGTCTTTTTTTTTTTTTTTTTTTTTTAGGTTTATACCATTGGGTGCGTGCAGTCGCCAGAGACAGAGAGCGGGAAAGCAAGAACCCTCCCCCGGGGAGGGGGAATGACCATGCTGCAGTCCCTTCTACTTTATTCTCTCAGGATTGGGGGCATGCATGGACACGCACGTGTCTGGTATGACTTTCAAGCCACTGGGTTCAGGACTTGAACACCCAGTCAGCTGTGTGGGAACCAAGCACCTTAGCTACATGCCACCACCGGACCCACATTTCAGCTTTTTCACTTTTTATTTTCAAATGGTGCTGATGGTCTTTGAGGCTGACCCACGTGGGAAGGTTCTGGGCTCACATCCCTGGCAAGAGAGTGCCCATACCCAGGGCTGCCTGGGGGTGGATCACAGCACCAAGACCCTGTAGGGGGTTGCTGTCTCTCATTCTCTCTTGCTCATAGAAGAAAGAGATAAATAGGGACCAGCAGATGGCATAATGGTTACACTGCTGGACTCCCATGTAGTCGACTAGTTCAAGTCCCAGACCTGACGACTTAAAGTTCACGCCGGATGCATGTGCATGCATGCCCCAAATCTCAGGAGAATGGAATGAAAGAGAAGGGGTTGCAGTGTGGCCATCCCCCCGAGGGTGATTTCTCGCTGTCTCTGATGAGCACACACGCCCTATAGCAAAAATCTCTCTCAAAAAAAAAAAAAAAAAAAAGCAGCAGCAGGAGCAGCAGCAGCAGACTGAACTCTACAAAGATCACAGCTGCAGTACACAGCTAAGACATCCAGCATTAGCAGCCAGCACAAGCACATGCCTCCTGGGGTGACCGAGATAGGGATTACAATTTTACCAAAAGTTTGCAGAGATGTGGAGGAACTGGGTCTCTTGTGAATTGCTGCAGGGAATGTTAAATTATGCGGCCCCTGTGGAAATCATTCTGGCAGTTAAATCTGCCTTGCACTCCTAACTTTTGCCTAGAGAAATGAAAAATTGCTTTTGCATGAACAGCCATATACGGGTATTCCAGGCAACTGGAAACAACTCTGATGTCCCTCAAGGAGAGGAAACTTGGACTGGGACACCTTGCTCAGTTTCTCGTATCTTTTTTTTTCTTTTGGGGGAGAGGTTTTTGCTATAGGGCATGTGCGGTCACCAGAAAGACAGAGACAGAGAAAGCGAGAAATCACCCCGCCAGGGGGGATGGTCACGCCGCAATCCCTTCTCCATTCTCTTCCCGGGATCTTGGGCACGCACGCACACGTGCCCGGCATGAGTTGAAGCCACCCAGTCTGAGACTCGAACCACGGTCGGCTACATGGGAGTCCAGTGACATAGCCATTAGGCTAACTGTTGGTCCTAGTTTCTCTTTATTTTAACTTTGTTTATCATTATTATTTTAATTTGCTACAGGGTGCACACACACCCACACACTCACCCACACACACACACACACACCAGAGAGAAACAGGGCAGGGGTAGGGGAAGCAAGATGCCAGGTCCAGTACTCAAACCATGGTCTGCCGTGTGGGAGTCCAGCGCCTCAGTCACCATCCCACCTGCTAGCCCCAGTGTCTCATATCTTTATCAGTCTACCAAAGACTGTGAGGTCATGGCCTTGACCTATACCACATACCACATTGCCGGGCTCATTTGTGCCTGAGTGTTTGCAGCCAGCCCGAAGACCAAATCACCTCACCTGTTTTCAGAGGTAAAGTTTTCGTGGAGCACAGCCATGCACTCTTGTTTCCATGGCACTTGTCAGCGTGCTGTGTGTGTCTGTCCTTGGGAGTCTGCTGGCGTCCTTTTCAGGAGTTGTTCACTTCCCCATTCTCACCCCCGCCTCCTGTCAGCGTCCCAGCGCTCATCAGCCATGGTCCAGTCCCATTCTTTGCTTTGTAAAGTAGCTCCAGGGTTTCTGGCCTGTTAGACCACTGAGCACACCTGCCTAGAGTACAGCGCTCATGCACGTGGTCACATGTTTTCCAGCTTACCTGGGTTGACAGTGAATTGTAATACAGGTAGATTAATTTGTTTTGTTTTGTATTCCATTGGGGAGTGCCTCCCCACCTGCTGTTTACTTTACTCACAACCGTATGAGAACACTCAGAAGTGCTGCTCTTTCCCCATCCCTTCTGTCTCTGCATTCTCCCATTCTTTTAGACTCCCAGCCACTCCACTACCCTAACCAGTCTGGTCACTTTCTGTTTTATATTTTGTTTCTTTGTACACATGAGCAGATACTTGTACCTTACATAAAAAAATATTAGTAACAGAGTGTGTGATACCAGCAGTTGGCGTGATGACTAAGTCGCTGACTCCCATGTAGTCGACCATGGTTCAAGTCCTGGACCTGGTGGCTTAAACTCAGGCCGGGCATGTGTGCGTGCATGCCCAAGATCCTGAGAGGAAAATGGAGGAGAAGGGATTGCAGCGTGGCCATCCGCCTGGGGGCTAATTTCTCACTTTCTGTCTCTGTCTTGGTAGGAAAAACCTCTCCAAAAAAAATAGGGAAAGCAAGATGCCAGGTCCAGTACTCAAACCATGGTCTGCCGTGTGGGAGTCCAGCGCCTCAGTCACCATCCCACCTGCTAGCCCCAGTGTCTCATATCTTTATCAGTCTACCAAAGACTGTGAGGTCATGGCCTTGACCTATACCACATACCACATTGCCGGGCTCATTTGTGCCTGAGTGTTTGCAGCCAGCCCGAAGACCAAATCACCTCACCTGTTTTCAGAGGTAAAGTTTTCGTGGAGCACAGCCATGCACTCTTGTTTCCATGGCACTTGTCAGCGTGCTGTGTGTGTCTGTCCTTGGGAGTCTGCTGGCGTCCTTTTCAGGAGTTGTTCACTTCCCCATTCTCACCCCCGCCTCCTGTCAGCGTCCCAGCGCTCATCAGCCATGGTCCAGTCCCATTCTTTGCTTTGTAAAGTAGCTCCAGGGTTTCTGGCCTGTTAGACCACTGAGCACACCTGCCTAGAGTACAGCGCTCATGCACGTGGTCACATGTTTTCCAGCTTACCTGGGTTGACAGTGAATTGTAATACAGGTAGATTAATTTGTTTTGTTTTGTATTCCATTGGGGAGTGCCTCCCCACCTGCTGTTTACTTTACTCACAACCGTATGAGAACACTCAGAAGTGCTGCTCTTTCCCCATCCCTTCTGTCTCTGCATTCTCCCATTCTTTTAGACTCCCAGCCACTCCACTACCCTAACCAGTCTGGTCACTTTCTGTTTTATATTTTGTTTCTTTGTACACATGAGCAGATACTTGTACCTTACATAAAAAAATATTAGTAACAGAGTGTGTGATACCAGCAGTTGGCGTGATGACTAAGTCGCTGACTCCCATGTAGTCGACCATGGTTCAAGTCCTGGACCTGGTGGCTTAAACTCAGGCCGGGCATGTGTGCGTGCATGCCCAAGATCCTGAGAGGAAAATGGAGGAGAAGGGATTGCAGCGTGGCCATCCGCCTGGGGGCTAATTTCTCACTTTCTGTCTCTAACTTGGTAGCAAAAACCTCTCCAAAAAAAAAAAAAAAAAAAAAGAAAAGATCTGCTCCTTGGTTTCAATGATATTATTATAATAATGTGTCCAGTTCTTTCTTGGAAATGTTCCCTCTTTATATCTTTTTTTTTTTTTTTTGAGAGGTTTTCACTGTAGGGCGTGTGCGCTCGCCAGACAGACAGAGACAGACAGAGAGACAGAAAGCAAGAAATCACCCCCCAGGGGGGATGGTCACGCCGCAATCCCTTCTCCTCCATTCTCCTCTCGGGATCTTGGGCACGCACGCACATGCGCCCAGCGTGAGTTTTAAGCCACCGGGTCCGGGACGCGAACTGCGGTCGACTACGTGGGAATCCAGCGACATAGCCATTACGCTAACTGCTGGTTCCCCCTCTTTATATCTTTTTATTATTTATTTTTAAATTTTAGGTTTTTGCCATCAGGCATGTGCACTTGCCCGAGAGTCAAGACAGAGAGTGAAAGTGAGAGATCACCTCTCACAGGTAACAACCACACTGCAAACCCTTCTTTTTTCTCCTCTCAGGATTCTGAGCACACATGCACACCTACCTGGCATGATTTTCATGCCACTGCGTCTGAGACTTGTACCATGGTTGGCCATATGGGAGTCCAGCACCTTAAACACTGTACCAGCTGCTGGGTCTGCTCTTCATAGATTTTAATACTTAGTAGTATTACTGGGCTATCTCTGTGGCCCAGTGTTAATGCACTGCTCAAAAGAAGCCAAATCCCACCTGGAACTGTGGTTCAGATCCCTGCACAATCAGCTTGGAACATGTTGGGAATGTATGCAGGGGCCCCAGATCTGACAGGCTGGAGAACTAGAGAAAGAGGTATGCAGCGTGACCAGCCCATGTGGAGGGGGACTACACCCTATTGGGGTTCCTGGCTCCAGCAGCTTGACAAACGTGCCAAGTGTGTGTGCGAGTGTGCCCATGTCCCGTTGATACTTGCTTTCTATGGCAAGTACCTCTGGCAGGTAAAAACAAAAAGTAACATAAAACTTATGCAAGGTCCAGCCTATGGCATAGCGATTAAGGCAACTGGATCCATATGGCCAACCATATGGTTCAAGTCCCTCTTCACTTTTTCTCTCTGTGACAAGCAAAATTATGTAAAAAAAAAAAAAAAATTATGATAATTCCAACACAGAATTTAGACTCCAAAGAGAAACTGAATTGAAATGAAACTTTGAAACTATGTATTTTTACTTTTTTTCCCCCTTAAAGACTAAGTGCCAGGTTTGTGGCCAGTGAACTGAACTTGTTGTCTTGGGCCTAGGTGAGGTGACGATGGATGCCATCTTGGCCCGACTGAGACTCCTGAAGCCAGATGACCTCAGAGAAGAGATCGTGAAAGCCGGGCTGAAATGTGGCCCCATCACATCAACCACGAGGTTCATTTTTGAGAAAAAATTGGCTCAGGCATTATTAGAGCAAAGAGCAGCACTGTCTTCCTCTCCTCCCACCTGGGATGAGGCCGGTGCCACGGCTCTCAGCCAAGACGCACAGAAGACCTCGAAGTCTGCTGCGGGGGACCCGCCTGCACAGGCCAGCTGTGAAGACAGAGATTTTGGTTACAGTGTGGGCTTGAATCCTCCTGAGGAGGATGCCACGACATCTGGTACCTGTTCTGGGCCCTTTGCCACTACAGTGGTCAGGGCTGACAGCCTTAAAGCTGAAGTGAAGGCCTGTAAGGAGCCACCTCTGTACTACGGGGTGTGCCCAGTGTACGAGGACGTCCCGGCAAGACATGGTAATGTGGCCTTGTGCATTTCTCACACAGAGGTCCATGTGCAGGGCGCTGGAGGAGATAGCTTTGAAAATCCACAGCTACAGATGAAGAAAAAATTAATCACCATAATCTCGTTACCCTACATTAATCATTAGCATTTTTGTGTAGAGCCTTTCTGAATTTCTTAGCATTGTTAGGGAGGCTGGATTCTCTGAGGAGCTTGACTTGCAAGTATCAGTGGGCTTACTGTCGTTTGTTAGGGCCTTTACTGGGGAATAGCTCCTCCCCTCCCCTTGATTCCTTATAACCTGAATCCCTTTTATGCTAATGATCCAAATGGACAATGAACAGGTCAGTTTCAGCACCAAAGGGTTGTGATTTTAAATGAGATTAAATAGATAATTTGATGTCATTTGGAATGTCAGAGATCATGTCGTTATTGTGATAGCATTTGTGGTAAAACCCAAGCACAGGAGATTAGTTGAACAGAACTTGCACCATGAATAGAATGGAATGTGGTTCAACCATAAAAGCAAATTTTTAGTGACACCAGGAAGGAAATGGTCATGATGCCATTTATGTTTATTTTTAATTGTTAATATAAAAGTTCTTCATTTAAAAAAAAGATTCATAATGTGCTTATTACTTGGATGCCACACACACAAAACACGAGGTCTCCCCTTCCCTCCTAGTCCTCAATGGGCATGACCCCATAACTACTTGCGTCATCATATCTGACCCTGTCCAGGTACCCTTACTCTGAAATCCCAAATGCTTCCAAATCTGCAACTTTCTGAGCACTGGCGGGACACTGAGTAGCAAATTCTACATCAGGCCTCATGTGTGGGTCTTGTATTTTAAAGCGGTGTGTGAGTACCTTTAAGCATTTGCATAAGATGGATGTGAACATAACTGATCCCATCCACAAGATAGTTCATTACATATATATAAGTACTCCAGAATCTAAGAAAGCTAGAATCTGGAACACTCCTGGTCCCAACCATTTTTGGATAAGAGTTACTGAACTTATATTTTTACATTTTGTACATATGAAGTTATTTTTAATATTGTCATATGTGGCATCTATTTTAAACTTTAAACATTTAATGTGCGTGTGTACATTGCTTTTATTTTTATAGAAATGGCACATAGAGGCGTACAGTCATATCAAGGCCACATGCGTTTTTCAGGGCTGGCCCTGTAGTGTGGCAGTTCAGTGCAGGGCTGACTGTCCAGGTGACTTGAGAACAAGCTGGGAGCCTGACAGGTAGACATGGAGTCAGGGTTGTGGCGTGACTGCCCACCGGGGGCGCGTTCTCTCCCTCACTCTCTGGCAATAAGAGGAAAAAGAAAAGAATGATGTTAAATGATAAGCATTTTAAAAACTTTGAAAACTCCAAAATATATTACATTTCTTTCTAAGAAAAGAAAATTGGTATCTAGTTTCTGTTCTGTCAACCATATTTCATTTTTTTAAACTTTTTATTTGGGGGCCAGCAGGTGGCATGGTAGTAAGGGGTCCTGGATCCTACATGGCCAACTCTGAGGTTCAAGTCCAGGACCCGGAGGCTTGAAAAATCACTCCAGGTGCACATCTGTACACACCCAAAACCCTGAGGGGAGAATGGAGGCAAGGAGACCGTGGCATTGGCCATCCATCTTGGGGGGGTGATTTCTTATTTTCTCTCGCTGGCAATAATCTTCAAAAAAACAAAACGCAAATTTCTTTTTTCATTTAATTTTTTTAGTCATTATCTTAATTTTATTTTTTTGATGTTGAGAGAGAGAGAAGGAAAGTGAGAAAGCAAGGCATTAGGTCCAGGACTCAAACCATGGTCAGCCATGTGGGAGTCCAAGCCACCCAACCACCATGCCACTTGCTGCACCTATATTTATTATTATTTAAGGTTTGCTGTAGGGCACCTGTCCTCACCAGAGAGAGAGAGCGTGCGTGAGAGTGAGAGAGTGAGCCACCAGGTCCAAGACCTGAACCATGGTTGTCCATGTGGGAGGCCAGCATCTTAACCACCGTGCCACTTGCTGACCCCCCAAAAACCAAATTTCTGTTTTGTCTTTTGAACAAGGAAGATCAGCTATTTTGTTTAAGATTGCTTACTATTTTAGTTTTTTTTGCTGTATGGTATGGCACTTGTGTGCACCAGACAAAGAGAGAACTCACACGTCAGGAGGGGTGGCCTTGCCATGATCTTCCACCTCCAGTCTCCAGAAGGTTTGGGGCATGCACACACATGCGCCCGGCGTGAGTTTAAGCCACTGGGTCCAGGACTCGAACTGCAGTCAATTACATGGGAGTCCAGTGACATAGCCATTATGCCATCTGCTGGTCCCCTCAAGATTAAAAATCTGAACTATGGATACAGCAGTAAAAGAAGATGGCCGGGGCCTGTAGTTACACGAGCTGAATCCCCCATGCCAACCGCACAATTCAAGTCCTGAACCTAGTAGCTTGAGAACCACGCCAGGCACACATATGTGCCGAAGATCTAGAAGGGAGAGAGCGGTGGAGGAGATGCGATTGTGGTGTGACCATTCTCTAGGGGGGTTTCCCTGTCTCTGGACAGCACATTCACACTCCACATTTTTTAAACATCAGACAACTGTGGGACCAGCAGATGACATAATGATTATGTCACTGGGTTCCCACGTAGTCAAGTTTGAGTTCCAGACCTGGCGGCTTAAAGCCCCTGCTTGGCATGTGTGCATGTGGGCCCAAAATCCGGAGAGGGGAGTAGAGAAGGGATTGCGGTGTGTCCATCCCCCCTGGGGGGGTAATTTCTCTCTTTCTGTCTCTGTCTCAGTCTCTCCCACAAGTGCATGCTCCTTATAGCAAAGATCTTTAAAAAAAAAAAAAATGAGGTGACTGGACAGTAAGTGACAGTTGGCCGATGTGAGGGTTAGTGACAGTGGCTCCAGGTACTTAGGTCTCATTTTCCCTTGTTCCCCACCCAGAAAAGATTCATGTTTATGAAGATAAAAAGGAAGCATTGCAAGCCGTCAAAATGATTAAAGGGTCCCGATTTAAAGCTTTTTCAACCAGAGAAGATGCCGAAAAATTTGCTAGAGGAATTTGTGATTATTTCCCTTCTCCAAGCAAAACCTCAACACCCCTTTCTCCTGTGAAGATGACTCCATTCTTCAGCAATGGCGGACTGAAAGGTACATATCACAGCATTCCTGTCAGGGTCTGACTCTCCCTGTCGTGTGGTGACTGTTACAGTTCCTGGTGTGAGGGACGTCCACCCAGCAGGGAGTGCAGAGCCGAGGCACTGGAACAGTGAAGGTGACTGGGTGGGTTGGCTGGTCTGGGGACCATGGAGGCCTGAGGGCAGAGCTGATGTGGCCGAGGGGACCAGGAACCACTGGAGCTCTGAGCTGACCTGACCGGCCAGTGCTCAGCATCTGAACTGTGGAGGGGCAGGGAAGGAGCACTCACTGCAGCTCCTGTCTGCCCGCCTCCCTCTCCCTGTGGCTCCTGCCTGTGGGACTCGAGGTCTTATGTTTACTCTGAGGCCTGTGTACTTCCCTTCCTGGGAGCTGCATGCACTGAATTCTAGGACCATAGCATTTGCCAGTCAGGCTGCCCAGCAGAGCCCTCCAGCCAGAAGTCACATCCGTTGCTTAATGGAGCTGGTTGGCACCGAGCAGGCCACGCACAGCACAAGGCAAAGCCTTGGCCTTCGTCTTTGCTCCAGCTGCAGCTCACCTCTCCTCCCAGCTCACAGTCATCTCAGCTTCCCTGGCCACTGAAAGTCCCCAGGTGTCCCCAGTTCTAGACTTGTGACTATGAGTCGAAAATCCTACTTACGGACCGGCAGATGGCACAGTAGTTAAGGTGCTGAATTCCCACATGGTTGACCGTGGTTTGAGTCATAGATCCAGCGACTTAAAACTCATGCTAGGTGCATGTGCATGCGTGCCCAAGATCCTGAGAAGAGAATAAAGGGGAAGGGATTGTGGCATGGCCATCTGCCAAGGGGGTTATTTTTCACTTTCTGTCTCTCTAGTGAACACATGCTCCCTATAACAAAAATCTCTCAAAAGAGAAAAAGAAAATCCCATTCATTTGCCTCTCCTCTTGCTCACTCAACCGTGTATAGGTGTTTCCTAAAAGGAAACCAGATGGTTTCTAATAGCTTTCCAATTTCTCTACTTTCAGTTTTTAAAAATCGCCCTGAAGGAATTACTTTAAGACTCTCAGTGTTGTGGTTAGGCCAGTGGAAATCACGTGTGAGCACCCACCTTCAGAGGGCTCCTTATGTGGAAGATCATGTACGATTGCTGGGGCATGTCCTTGGCCACTATGCACTCTCGCTGCTGAAATCCGCCCTGCCTTTCCAGGCTCACCCAGTGAGGCGTTCACAAAGCCAGCCAGCTTCCTGCTGTGCTCAGCTGCTCCTGGCGGTGTAGCAGTCCTGAACAGTCAAGTGCTCTCTCCTTACCTGTGACTCACACTGGTCCCGGGCTCTGTGGGAGACTTTTTTTCCCCTTCACCCAGCATACAGGGGTTGGGAAAACACTTGTGAGCTTAAGTGTGCTTAAACTCTGTCTTCTAGTGACAGATGGCTTGTGTTTATCTGAATCGGAGACGGTAAACAAAGAACGAGCAAATAGCTATAAAAACCCCCGGACTCAGGACCTCACCGCCAAGCTGCGGAAAGCTGTGGAGAAGGGGGAAGGAGACACCTTCTGTGACCTTGTCTGGAGTAATCCCCGATATCTGGTTGGGTCAGGGGACAACCCAACCATTGTACAGGTAGGTCTGATCTCAGCACTGCTAGTACCCTCGTGCGTGCTGTGCTCATTGACAAAACGGAAGCTCAAAGCACCGCCGTTCCCCAGGAAGGGTGCAGGTACAACATCATGCATGTCGCTGCCAAAGAGAACCAGGCTTCTATCTGCCAGCTGGCTTTGGAGACCCTGGAGAACCCTGAGTTCATGCGGCTGATGTACCCGGACGACGACGCGGGCATGTTGGAGAAGCGCATTCGCTACATCGTCGACCTCTATCTGAACACTCCTGACAAAATGGTCAGTGTTCCTTCTTCAGTCTCTCTATTTAATTTTAATTTTTTTTTTTTTGGAGAGGTTTTTGCTATAGGGCATGTGCACTCGCCAGAAAGAGAGAGAGAGAGAGAAAATGAGAACTCACCTCCCTAGGGGATGACTACACTTTAATCCTCTCTCCTCCATTCTCCTTGGCATCTTGGGCACACACACACACACACGGGCCCAGCGTGAGTTTAAGCCACTGGGTCCGGGACTCAAACTGCAGTTGACTACATGAGAGTCATAGTCATTGCCATTATGCCAACTGCTGGTCCCTATTTTTTAAATTGTATTTGTTGCTATTAATTTTATTATTTTCTTTTTTTAATTTGACCAGAGAGAGAAAAGGAAAGTGAGAAAGCAAGCCTCCAGGTCTAGGATTCGAATCGCAGTCAGCCATGTGGGAGTCCAGTACCTTAACCACCACACCACTTGTCAGTCCCCAGTCTCTCTTTAGTAGAAGTAATGATAACATACAATTACCGAAAGGTTTGTGTCCCTTGCACGTCACATATCTATTACATTTTACAGTGTGCAACAGTGGACAAGGAACATGGACTAGGGGGCCGGCAGGCGGCATGGTGGTTAAGGGCGCTGCATTCCCACGTGACTAACCACAGTTCGAGTCCCAGCCCTGGCAGCTTACTTTCTCACTTTCTCTCTCCCCCACAATCTGGTTA